ATTCCTGCTCCCCGGAGCCCTGAGATCCTGGCCCTGCAGCCGGCACCGACTGCGCAGCCTCCATCGGCCGGGACAGACACACCCAGCTTGGCCCCTTCGACCGCCCCCTGGTGGGGGTGGGTGGGAAGAGAGGAGCGGCGGGGGTAGGATGAAAGGGCCAGTTCAACAATCACAGACCGAGCTCACTGAGCCTTCCCAGTCCCCCTCTCCTCTGCCTTAGTTTCTTCTCTGTCCCTCCTCGCTGTCAGGTTTGTGCCATTGACGCCGCTCTCCATGCTGGGGTTGTGGGGAGGGGCTTGGATGGGGGCAGCTCACACTCAGCCATTGTGACAGGGTCACACTCTTGTGAGTGAGTCTCACTCACTGAGCAGCAAACCACTGACCCAACCTCACACTGGGCTGTGCTCAGAGCAGACGAGGGGCCCGTAGGATTCAGCTTGTTACCCAGTAACACACGGCCCAGGTCAGACCACAGCAGCCAGACTCCTAGAGATGGAGCAGGGGTGGGGGGCTGCAGCAGCCAGGGCACCTGGGAGAGGAACAGGGAGGTGTCCAGTGCGACTCACCAGGGGCTCTTGCTTATGGGCCCTGGCCCTGCAGAGACCTGTCACCAGCAGGGGCAGCTCCTCCTTGGGGGAGGGCGGAGTGAAGTCCCAGCAGGAATGTAACTGCTGTGCAGTGCAGCTGACACACTGTAGGGGGCAGCACCGCCTGCTGCCACTGGGGAATCCTGGAGGCTGCAATACACCAGGCTGCTACCGATGCCTGTGCCTGACTCAGGCTGCAGGCAGCACAGGGAGAGGCCCAGAGCAGGGCACAGAGGTGGCTGTGGGGCTGTTTCAGCTCATATGCACTGGGAGGTCTCGGGGGGCTTGGTGATGCAGGGATCCCAGAGGTAACATGGAATAATGGGGAGCCCAGCGCTGGCCCTGGGGGGATGGTTCCCCCCAACCCCCACAGATCTCACTGCCAGGATGTTTCTCTTGAGACTCAGCCTCACTTTCCCCTTTGTTAATTTCTCCCCATCGCCCCTGCTCTTTTTGCCCCTAAATTCTTTATGTACAGAAAAAGAAACAATAGAACCCCCCCCAATGGTGGCCACAGAAAATACTGACTCTAGGACCAATTCTCAATACACATCTCACACTCCCCATGAGACCTCCTGTTCTCAGTCATATCTCTGACCACAGTCCTGCATATCTGGATGGGTCCCTCCACAGTTGGGATGAGCAAATCCCCTCATGCAGCCCCCGCCCCCCCACCAGCTAGGATGGGGGACTCTGGAAAGTGTGGAGGATGCAGCCACATTAACACTGTCCTCCCCCTTCCTCAGACACAGTTGGTGGGGACAGAAATGAGGACACCCCAGTAGGGGATTCATACAGGATTTCATGCAAGGCAAATGTCCTGCTTGGATTGGACTTAACTTTACAACCCCTGCAATGAAGTGGACCTGAGCGAATGGCTCCCCGTTAAATCAAACACTTTGCATCTTTCCCCATGTTAAATACATCTGAAGACTCTATAGTCTATTACACAAGCATGGCAGTGT